GAGTTGAAACTTTTAGTGCACGTCAAGCTCTTAGTCGAGGAGAAGAAGTCGGCATCAAAGGAGACAACATGGCATTGACCAAGGTATTGATCGACAGCAAAGTCGACAGTGCTGCGTCGACTAGGATGTGGGTCGACAGGGAGGTCGACGCGCAGCGGGCAGATTTTTCTACTCTCTTATTTTGATTAGGAAAAGAATTTTTCGGTCATTTATCCCTTATGGCCAACTTTCTTACATCTCTAGAAGATTCTAGATAGTTTTAAATAATTGTGACATGTACAATTATTTATTTAATTATTATTTAAATCTATATTAGGAAACTTAGATAGAAAAATCCGATTTGAACTTGTATTTGGGTTTCTTTTTGTCCAATCCAACCTTTGCCTATACAAAAGGGGCCTTGGTCGACCAAAAATATATACTTTTGATAATTATTGATATTTCAATACGAGCGAGAGTAAACTCTTTGTTCTTTTTCTATTCTTTTTGAAGATTAGTGCATTGTACACTTGTTTGTGCTTTGTTGACGCGTGCGCGTGATGTTAAGTGTTCTTCACGTGTGGAGCTTTGTTAGTTTATTCATTGGAGCTTTTTCACTAGCCGTTCTATCCATAAATCGAAGGGATAGGATTGTTAGAGAGGAACCGATTGGGTTGACACAATTCTTCATCTTTTGAATCTTCCATTCTTTTTGGTTCAAATTTTTGTGGTTTGCATCGTTTCTTCTTATTGTCTTCTTCTTTCTCGTGTGATTTGGAGTATTCTCCATTGGTGTCGCAAATTATCAAGTCTTAGAAAATTCATAACTTTTGCGTTTGAGGTAATTTAATCATCTCACCTCAAGACGTACAAGAAGTTCTACTAAAAGTGCACTTTTATGCCCTTTTATGAGTAATCTAATTGTAATATCTTTTTCCATAATTTGTTTAAGAGTATGGTGCTTCTGATTATTATATTTATATGATGTGCTCCGTAGGCTGTAAGTTTCGTTACTCAAGCAAATGTTTAAGCCCATATTCTTATTTATAGCCATTTTCGCGTGTTTAAAAAAATGTTTTGTTCAGGTGTTCTTATAGTGACTAGCTGTTGATTAATGATGCTCTCTGCTGCAAATTAATTACTTTGGCCACTACTTTATATATGGATACAAAAGATGCATTCTTTCTAATTCCCTTTATCAAAATTTTGCCGAAGAAGTGATTGTGAAACTTATATTTTTAGTTTTAGTTCAAATTGTAATAAGTAAAATTTAAATAAACAATTATTTTGACACGATAAAAGTATTTGAGGTGGAAAAGAAAAATGAACATATTTCAATAGCTTAATCATGTTTTCAAGTAATTTCATCATTTCAAAATAATTGTCATCTTTGACGTGCTTAAAATATTGCCATGGATACAATAATCATTTTAGTAACTTAAGAACAAAAAAAAATACACTGGTATAATCATTTGAACATTAATTTAAGAACAATCAGTATAGAAATTTAACGTTAATTTCATGAGTCACGCAAACCAATTTGCCATTGGCTTTGACAAAATGCATATTCAGCATTGTGCATAAGCTGAAACACACGTTCAAAAGTAAATTCTTTGGTAAATAATTAAGTTTTACCAAGACACCTATATGAGATGCCAACTTGACGGTAAAAGAAAGACACTGTATGTTACTATGTTTATCTTAACACAAATTAAATTCCTTTCGTCTGGTTCAAAAAAATGTTTATGTAACAATGTACCATTCAAGAAATATAATTCAATTGAATCGAGAGGTGCATCAGTCTCCTTCTGAATTATAAGTTGAATAAATTTGCTATGGAATGAAAACGTGAAGGAAATATATACTTCTAAGTTTTTTTTTTTTTTTCCGGTTTGTGAAATAAAGGATGTGAAAGTGTAATTGTCTAAGATACTATTAAATTATTAAATTCCACGAGTGAAAATTCGTGGAACAAATCATGTTCTAGTTTCAAGAGGTAAATAGAAAACACTACCTTGGCTAAAAAAATAAAATAAAATAAAAAATTGTTTATATTGAGTTTTGAGATTTATACTAATAAATTTTAAAACTCAATGTATAATTTTTATTTTTATTTTTTTGTTGGGGACAAAGGATTAACAAGGAACATCAACATTACCTGATATTAAAAGATTGATATGTAGAAGGAAGAGTAACTTATATACATGGCTAAGGATCTCCTAACCCACTTTGACATAAGTAACATTCGTCCGCCATTAATTTGACACAAAACACAATTTCTCTCTATCACTCTTTTTGACTCTATTAATTTCAAAATAAATATCATATTTATTGTATTGATACAGTACAACAAACAAGAATATTATTTTGAAAAGAAACGAGTCTCATCTTTTATTGGACACACAACACAGGGATTCAAACAATAAAGAAATTTTTATTTTTTATTTTTTTTTAAAAAAAACAATGATATCCCAGCCTCCTCCAAATTCGTTGTTCTTCTCATCAACCGGTAAAAAAGCATACGAGGGCACAAGTGTAACCGGACACACACACACACACATATATATACACACATTAAATTAGAGTTTTGAATTCCTACGAGACATTCGAGAAGAGTTTCTAGGGTTATGAAGGCATATGACATTACTCTATTCATCTTTTATTAATATATATATATATATATGTGTGTATATGTATATATATGAAATTATAAGTAAGTTAAATTAAATTTGTAACCATGATACGATGTTAAAAGTATTTGATATATTTCATCAGATAATACATTAATGTTAACGTTAATTAATGCAACTATTCACACAATCAGAGAAACACAGATTTTGATCATGAAATTTAAGTAAAGATAATCTGCCGATCTTATTCATACAACTACTTGTAAAATTAAAATCCTAATTATAGTAATTTTATTTTAATTTCTTTTTTATATAAAAATTAGTACATATCCCGTTAGTACTTGATTGGGATTAGTTGTGTTGGAAAATACATAAATGTATTTTATTAGTTCTGTTAGAATATCTAAGTATATTTTATTATTTTTTGTGTGAAAAAGCAAGGGCATAAAAATTATTTGGAACTGCACTTTAACTGTAATTTAAGATGATTTTTTGATATTTTTATTTTATGTCTATAAAAAAATACTTAAAAATATGTACATTTAATCCCCTTTAAAATTATACTTAAGGATTCATCCAAAAGCCTCCCTCAAAAAAAAAATCATTTTTCTCTCCAAAAAATATAGAATGAACTAAATTGACCATTTAGATGGCTATCAAATTTTATACTTACGTTGTATGTATATTTATATGTTTTCTATTTTGGACTCTTTCTTTTTTGCACAAAGAGAATAATTTTTATAATTGATTTTTAAACTGAGCAACGCTTATAAAGATTGATAATTTAGGGATAAATCTAGTATGAATAAAGATTGATAATTTATTACTGAACTAACACCTAATCATAAGAAATCGAGTTCTAGACCTTCTCTAGAAATCAATAATAATTTTATTATTAAACTAACACCTGATCATGATTGATTTTTTATTTTTAGTACAAATAAACTTTTAAACTAAATAAGCATATCGGGATGCATGGAGGAACTAGCAAAACATTTATTATCAATTCCCCCCAAAAAGAAGTGTTCTTGGCTTGTTAGAATTTAAGGCTGTCTTTTTATATTCAGAAAAAGAAAAGGTCTTAACCAAAAATAAAAAAATAAAATAAAATAAAAAAAGAGAAGAAAAGTTTAACGATAAAATGGCCCAGTAGCAACAAGAAAAGACATTCATACAGCCAACAAAAGAAAGAATAGAAGGCCCAAGGAAATGAGATGCTATCTAATTTTGTTGTCCCCGAGGAATGCAATTCATCGGTCTCCTTAGCTAAATTAGGAATGTCTTATGCGGGATTGTATATTTTGTCAACGTCAAATTATCTTTTGACTGCTTGCTTCCTTTTTAAAGCGGCTCATTGTAATTTCTAAGATAAAACTTCTCCATTATCTATAATCTATCTATCTATAATCTATCATCTATAATATATTCTAAGAGAGAAACCAGAGAGAGGAAACATCATTTATCCCTAAAGTGTCACATCAACAAAAATCCTAGGTGTAATTTTCTTATAAATTCTCCAAATAAAACTTAGTGTAATTGTCCAATAATCCTCCAAATTTGAGTTGTTATAATTATCTTATCCCTTAAAAGATTAGTAAAATTTATTAAGATCCCATTTTAAGTTTTTAAAAAAATAGGAAGTATAAGAATTTCCTTGGAGCTGAGTTGCAATAATTTTTTTTGCAATAATTTGTTTTGCTTTTTTTTTTATTGTGTGTACAAGCAATAGTGTACACAAATTTCTTCTCTCTTTTTTTTTTTTTTTCATTTGGGAATATTTGAGCTAAACTTGAATTATAACAATTAGGCATATATTATATTGTTGACTACAAAAGTTTTTTCAGTATTAATAATGATTTTATAGGGGTTAGTACTAACATTTTTTTTTCAGTATTAATAATGATTTTATAGGGGTTAGTACTAACATTTTGTTTGTTTTGGTATTGTAGATCTATATCGAGTTCTTATATCAACTTTAGCAAGTTTTGCAAGTTAAATGTTTAGTTGATTATATATGGACATAAAACCGATTTCTTTAATATTTCATTTGATTTTTTAATAACTGATACAGTCAGAAAAATAAAATCATCGTAAATCAATAATAATAAATTATTAAAAAAATTATTATTTGATCGCGTGCATCACACGGGTATAACATCTAGTATGTATATATAAAAAGAAAAGCAATTCATACATACTACCCAGGAATTTCTCTCATCCACTTAGATAGAAGTTAGCATTGTAAGCAAATCATTCGGCTTCCTCAGTGTGTGACTGTGTCTATATTATAAATTAATTAGATATTAATCCATAATACTTAAATTAAGAGAGAAATCAGAGAGAGAAAATAAAAAATAAAATTTACAGTGCCACATTGGGAAAAAAAAAATCCAACGTAGTATTTTCTCAAAATTTAGGTAAAAAAAAGCTTCAACATTTAGCTAAGGTGTGCTTAATTTCATTTTTGCCCAAAGGGGATGTGAAACTCCAACCTTATACTCTCATAGTAATAACAATCTCTTAAGTCTAAACTCCAACCCTCCATCCACCTATCCGTATCGTTTCTCCTAATTTATCCATCAAAAGTTAGTCAGATGCTATACAGTAAGACCAAAAGTTATAAGCATTTTCAACTACCTTCCTCATTCACTGCAGCGTTTGGATTACTAGAAATGCACTCATGGTAATAACTAATAAGAACCAACAGATGAAATTACAGGTCATATTAGCATCCATACATTTCTGAAGAATGATGACTTAACTTCGCACAGACTTATACCGGCAAAGAACTTTACATCTAAGTACTCTATCATGCACATAAAATCCTGGCATTACCATGATCTTAACCCTACTACCACCTTGAGCTTTTTGCTTATCCATGAAGATATCTTCCATGTAATGAGGATCAAACGTCCTGTTCTCTTCAACTCTAATAATCCCAAGTGCCGGATTGAATGAAAACGCGAGCAAATGCAACAACCATATGCATTTAGCCGCGACGAAAAATGCCTGGAGGAGCTGTTCTGGCCATGGCCTGATCCAATTCAGAGTCGCAATAATCAAACTCATCTTCTGATCGCAAAACTTACTGAAGTCTTCGCTGTAGTATTTTGTTCCTTTTCTCAACACTTCATTCCAGCTTAGATTCCTTAGCGCGACGAAAGATGAGAACTGCGCGACACATTCTTGATGAGGATCCAAGAACTTTGGGGAGCCATTCTTCTGAAACACACAGTTTTCGAAATCCTGAAAGAGGGCGTCGTTAATTGTAGCTTCCAAGTGGTATAAAATTGGTCTTGTGTACTTTGAATTCAAGGAGAGATTGTAAGGTTGAAGGAGCATGTTCAGGTTATCCCTTAAACTGTCATCATTCTCTTCAATCTGCGCCAAAAGAATCTTGCAAAACTGCTTTACCGACAACCTTGCTTCCGATACTATCTGTAGAAATCCCTCAACCATAGTTTCCTCACTAACAGGCATCCTGTTTTCGCCATTCCCATCACTTGATTTCCCTTGCTTCGAAAGATTTCCGAGTTTCTCAACAACCTGAGAGCTTTTTGTTTGCGCGGCTTGTCTTAAGGCCTTCTTCAGTTCTTCACAATAATTCTCCAGGTGCTCCAATTTCTGATTCAGCTCCCCTATTGAAGATCTCATCTCAGAAACTTCTGATAAGGCTTTGTCTCTTCTCTCATTCGCCTCCATCAGCTCCTTCTTCATTGTCTCAATCGACATCAACCCAAAATCTTTCAAAATTTGTGACACTTCCTCAGGTTCTGATCGATTTGGCGAGTTCTTGTTCTTGTTCTTCTTCTTTAGACTGGGAAACAACCGTAACAAGTTCAATCCTCGATTCTTAGGCTGTGAATGAACAGAAGAATGAGTATCAGTCAATGGGACGACGAAATTACTGCTCTTCGTGCTCTTGGCTGCAAAATCATCCTCACTGCGAATTTTCGCCGGCCTGCAATTATTGCAGGATGACACTGATTTGAGGTCACCTAAACTGTTCCTTCTGGACTTGCAGAAATCAGCTCCAGGTGATACTCTATGGAGATTAATATTATTCGCACTCGAGTTTGAGATGGATCTTTGATCATCATTCGGGCATACCCGCGTTCCAACGTTCATGAAATCGCCGGGATATCCCTTCATTGAAGGCAAATTCGCATTCGCATTGTTGTAACTAGACAGATTGCAATCATCACCATCTCCATCCGGGCCACATTCATCCCAACTTTCGGCATAATTTCGATTTTGTAGCCGGATTTGCTGATAACCTGGTAATGGTTCTTCTTCATAACTCTGTCAATTAAAAAGAGGAGCAAAGATATCCGATTTAATCATCAAAAATCAAACATTGATTAAGAGAGAAAAAAAATCCATATTTCATTAGTCACCTTGACTAGTTATTACGAAAATTTGATCAGTTATTATCCAAATTATTGATTAAGAGAAGAAAAGGTTATCATCCACGAGGAAATACGTAATATCTTGAGACAACTCGAATCAAAGCTGATCGATGCTTGTGTAAAAAGTGAGCTTCAAAAGCTTCCAGTTTAAGGAATCTATAAAAAAGATGTCTGGATACTACAAAACTAAAGGCATGCCTTTCTTCTTTTTTTTTTTAATCAGGCACAACTTTCAAAGTTTGGACCGTAAGGTTGGAATCCAGAATGAACCGAATGCTAAAAAGAACAAAATCCTCAATTACTCAGAACTCAGAACTATCTCATATCCAAAATGTAAAAAACCAAATTCAGTTACTAAGAGGGAAAAATAATAAATAAAATTGAATGACACAGAAACATCTCAGACATGAAAACACCTAAATTTATCATGTAGAGATAACACCAGAGTGAAGAAATTGTTTGGAAACAAAGAATACTTACTGGTGTAAAAACAGGGTAATCTTGTGCAGAGAGGTGAGAAACATTGTGGGAAACAGGGGAAGCAGAGGAGAGCTTGTTATGGTGAGCACTAGCTGGGCTGCTACCTTGCTGCATCAAGGTGGCATGAAGAGCTCTGAGCTCCACCGCTTTGGCTAAAGCCGCCTGAATCTCCTGCCTGTTCATAACTTCATTGCCGAAATTCTTGTTGAAGTCTTGAATTGTTGTGGAAGTTGCAGCCATGAATGAATAATGCAGGAGCAGAAAAACAGAGGAAAACAGAGCATCAACAGCGAAGAAGAAGATAGCCCAGATGAGATAATTGACAAGAAAGATGATGGACTCGTGAATATCCAACGGTTGGTTTTGGTTTTGGTTTTGCAGGACAGTACCAGGTCATATCATATCCAGTGAAGGATACTGCAGAACCAGAAAAAAAAAAAAAAATGGTTGTGCGTGTTACTGTGTGAGTGTGTGAGAGAGAAAGAGAGAGAGAAGGAGGAGAAGAAGAAGAGAGAGATCTCAAATCCAAGAAGGAATTTGTCTTTGTTCTTGAAAAGATGGTATGGAATGAGTGCATGTGATGAGGCAGGGAGGAGTTTGTAGTAAGTTTTACTCAAATATGCCCATATGGAAGAATGAGTGCAAATTACCAAAGCACACATGACTTTAGAGTTTAGATGTATATTGGCTAATGAGGGTAAATTGACCAGTGATATCCTGTACATCATCTCTATTGTGGTCCAATATATAGTAGTAATTATAGTAAAATAATATCATTTTTTTTAAATGTTTTTAAAATGACAGTTCATCAATTAAGCTATAAGTAATACTCTCTCTATCCCAAAAAAAGTTCACTCTGAATTTTAAAATTTGTACTAAAAACAATATAAATCTAAAAACTCAAAGTAAACTATTTTTTTGAGACAGAGATAGTATAAATTTTACTCGTAAATTCAACCATGGGTTGTAGTTTAATGGTAAAACGTTTCTCTAAAGTAAAGGAAATGTCACGGATGCACAATAAATGAAAAAGATGATCTCAATGGTTTACGTCATTTCACCTTTTCCCCCCTATTTTCCTCTCATTATGCAAACGCACACTAATTATAATGAGTGCTTTTTTTGCTTTTTGCCATGAATATGTTATCGTTATCTTTCTGTTACTATATAGTATTAAGGTTAGTGGAGTTAGGTTTTTAGTAGTTAATTAATCATAGTCTAATTGATACCGAAAGTACAGATAACTTTTGGCAAGTTGGAGATTGACTAATTACCGGTGAAAATGTTTATTCAAAGTAGAACCTAACATAAAGATTGTGCATCTTTTAAGCTACCTGTTACCCCTTTTTCTTTCAGGGCAACAAGAACAAAATTTGTTTTTTTTTCCCCCATTTTCCTGCTTTTATTTACAATGTTAAAATGGCAAATGTTATCTTAAGCTAATAATATAATTAATTTTCTCCATTGTTAATATGCAATTTTCGTTGGGTGATAATCGGATTACTAATCGAAATTCTATTGAATGATGTAGTAGGTAAAGTCGAATAATTACTTTATGGTTTAGGTTAGAGTTTGAATGTTGAGATCCACAACTTTTTTTGACATTTTCGACATAAAGAAGCATGCCTGCCTCGGCGTGGATGGCAATGTAGTATCGTTTTCATAAGAATGGTCACATATAGTGAGCATGATGAACACTGAAGGATAAGTGTGTGTGTGTGTGTGTGTGTGTGTGTGTTTGGTGGGGAAGGGGAAAGAGAAGGACAAAAGTTTTTACTGTCAAAATGAATAAATATGTATTCTCAAAATTACAATAACTTCTCGAGATTTTGTTTTAAATCGTGTCTTATAGGTAAAGTTAACCGTAAGGATTTGTAAATATACAAACTGAAAATTGCACAAAATGCTTAGTATAGGTAGCCATAAGGAAGAGATGAGGTGGGGAACAGAACGTTCCACTTCCTTCCAAACGCATAAGGTCTTCTCTTTTTCGATGGGGTGTTTGTGTGCTAAAAGATGAGAATCGTGGGGGACCAAACACAGCCATCTCCAAATGTCTCAATGATAACACCGCTCATTCAAAGAAACCTAGTAACATATACTCCATCCGTCCCAAAATTATTGTCCAGTTTGAGATTTCATTTCTAGTACTGTCCAGTTTGAGATTTCATTTTAGGACAGAAAGAGTATGTTTTATTGGAGGTTAAATTATTTAACTTTCTGATATGATATGTTGAGCGAGTAAGATTAATCAGTGTGAGCTGTTTATTTTTTTAGAAAATTCGAATAGAGTTGAAGGGGTCGGAAATTAAAACCATGCAGAGTAATACAATTCAGAAAATGTACAAACAAGGATGTGATTTAATCAAACTTCAAAAATTCAATTTAACTTATGTCCAATGAAGTGTTTGAGGAACATAATCAATGGAGATAAGTAAGACAATAATGAATAAAAAAGCATTGTAAAGTTGATGTCAAAGCATGTACTTGTAATCACTACCAGTTTTGATATTCTAAGTCTAGTAATAATGAGATATTCAAATTTTCGTACGTTATGTTCATGATTTCACCTCACTTGATCATCAAGCTAATATATAGAGATTCTTTCCAACCCTTCTTCATCCAAATGTTTCCAAAAATCAAAAATCAAAAATGTACAGCGAACATTCACTGTTTATAAGCCTGTCACCCAAAACTTATCTAAATGGACCTCAAATTTACTCTATAATAGTCATGAACACAAAAAAAAGTATAATGAATCTCGAACACTGAACGAGTTAATGAAGTTAAAAAAGGCTCTAAGATATTTATCCGTTCTTAAATGTCTTTCTTTAATTTTTCAGGTATTGAAAATAATTAAAATGTGAGTTTTATATTTCGGCACAACTCATTGGGGCGCTACAGACTAGTCTTTTACTAGATAGAGCCAACTCCTTTTCTAAGGAGTGTAATCAGGTTTTCTAACCTCCACATTATATATATATATATATATATATAAAGAGAAAATAATTAAAATATTTTCTATTTCATATTAACCGTTAACTTTATAAAACTATAAAAATTCCAAAAAAATAAAAGGGAAAAAAAAGGAGAGCACCAAAATGTGCGAACCATGAAGACCAAACTAATTCGTGGGTTCCACAAAGCTGCAAATGGAATTCCAGCTGAGAGTAATTAGGCAAATGACTTTTTAGTGTCACCCGTAATTTAAAAATTTGTTCTTCTTTTCAGGTAACCCATAACTAATTCGTTAGAAATAATTTATGTAGCTATTATTAACATCTTTACATTAGCTTTCTTTATCAATTATCATCAACCAGTCTCTCTAAAGAGCCAGCTACATCGTCAACCTCCACATGCAAAAAGCCAAAAAGTGTCTAAACCTCTCTGACTCGGTAATGAAAAAAGAGATCAAAATTAATTAAAGAAAATGTCACACCACCATGACGGCGTTAACCACGAGGTTAACTGTTCTCTTTCGGTTTAATATGTGGATAGCTTCTTAAATAACCTTTTCAGCGCGAGATACAATTTTTATTGCATGGAATAATATTCTGACTATCTTACAATCTTTGTGTTCGTTCTTTTGTTTTAACAACCCGAAATATGTGCTTAAATAGCGTACTGTTGATTATAGTTTTCAAAATGTAAATGGATTCAGTATAAATTAAAGAACGTGAAAGAAGATCTTCCTGACTCGATGCGGATTAATTTGAGTGTAAAAATATTTGAGACACCGTATGCGTATGAAAAAGAATGAGAAAAAAAAAATCACAGAGAAGAGAGGTGACCTTTTCTTCTTGTTTATAGGGTTTTCATTCTCCCTTTCTTTTTTTTTTTTAATCTCACAGTTTGGATAAGGACGTTTTGATTGGCATTCTGCCGTTTTGGCACTTGAGTAATTTTGTCATTTTTGTCTAGAAACAAAAATCTTCAACAATTAATTTCACATTATACAGTATACACTCTTGGATGCTTGTTTCTGTCCATTTCTTCCATTGTTTTTTAACACTTGCTACGATAGGCACTGAAAAACTACGAAAAAGAAAAAATGAAAAAGAATGGAATCAAAAAGAGTAATGCCATAAGAAAAGCCATATTAGTTTTGCATCATCAGGGCCATTAGGAGGCGGTGGCCCATCAATTGGCGGCCTAACATCAGATCCTGGCCTATAAACACAATTGTATTGTCTCACCAGATAGTCTTCCCTTTAAATACTAAGGCCCAACAAGGAGCACAGTCGGTCGGTTGGGGATGAAAATGTGATCTCCGGACTACCAAAAAAATCCGATGCTAGAGGCAAAGTTCATTATAATTCACATTGCAGTCTGTAAATAGTGTTAAACACATCTAGTTCATAAATTGTTCTAACATGTTTACTAGATGTTAAATTCGTACGATGTATGAAATCGATCTAAATATAATATGATAAAATCATTCAAAAATAAAATTATGATAAACACAAATGATGTTAATGAGTTATGATGGTATAGATGATAAAGCTAAATATAAATTATAAGACCTACGTAAAAATATACAAATAGAAATAATGTATGTCATGTCAAATTAAATATCGCGTAGATTGTGAAAGTGTTTAATTTTGGTGGTAGTGAAAATAGAGGTCATACTCTATATTTATGGTGTACTAGCTGGATTGGACGCGAGAAATGGTAACATAATACAAATTACATAAAACAAGAAAGTGATTGTTAGTAATAAAAAAATTTGTGAATCACGTTATTGTGAATTATAAAATCTGTAAAGTTATTTTCTTAAATTGTGTCACATCTGATTTTGACGAAATTGACACATAGTATTTCAATTGTAAACCAAAAAAGAAAAATGGACATAAGAACTGAGTAATAGAATAAAATCAAGTTTTTGTCATAAAAAAAGAACAACTAAAAAAAATGAATTGAGGTTGAAAACTAAATTTCAAAAGAAAAAAAAAACAGAAAGATGAAGATGAACAATGGACGATAATTACTTCTAATAAACTCGTGAAAATTTTATTAAACATGAGTTATCGGCATTAGCTAAGAATAGTGATACTAAATTAGTACTTGGTGGCATATCCTGCGAGCGTCAGCCAATCCCTACGGGACGATTTTTAGTAATTATGAATTAAACCACCTTTTTCTAAAAAAACTTGTAATGGAAAAATCGTAAAGTGTAAAGAGCAAAAACTCAAAAGAAATAAAAAAGGGAGATATGATAGAACTCCTACACTTTTTAGGATTATAAATTGGTGAGTTTAGGATACAATACTTTTAATAGTATATTGAGTTATAAAACAATCATTCGGATTATCATAAATAACCTATGAAAATCAAAGAAAAGAAGAAAAAAGACATGCACCAAGGAAATCAAAAAGGTTAGAAATACCCAAAAATTCCTTTATACTCCCTCTATCCCAAAATTATTGTCCAGTTTAACTAAGATAATGAATTTTATTTTTAATCAAATTTAACCATATTTTACCTTAAACTTCCGGATATACCTGTATGCATAATTTATTTATCCGACAAAGATTTTACAGATTTACAACCTAACTTCCTTTAATTATTTCTCATATAATTGCTCAAATTCTAAACCAACTCCAATTCAACCGCAAGAGCATCACCTTCATTTGTTCTTCGCTCATATGCTTATAATCAACCCAAATTTTTAGATGAAGGATTTCATTTTGGGAGAATCTTCATACACTATGTTTCAATTTGGGGTTTAGGAAAACAATTCTATTCACCGGAGAGTTCATCGCCGGTATGGCTCGGACGGAGTTCTTCAACGCTTATGCCAATCAAACCAAATTTTATTTGAATTTGGAGCAAGGTTTTACTCTGAGCTTCAATTTGATGTTCTCCAGACAGTTATTATATCTCGTCGCAAATATCCTTCAAATCAATCGATGGCAGTTATATGCCAGAATCTGGTGGAATTTCTTAGGTTGACATTTAGAAAAAGCTCAGACATGAGCCAAAAAGAAAGCCACGACATGGAAACTGTCAGAAGAAATTGATTTGGTAATCATCAGTTTCAGAAAGGAAATTAATGACATGGAAATTTTGTATGGAAATTGATGGTCATTTAGTATAGATGGCTCGTCACCGTCGCTTTTAGCCGCCAGAGTTTGGACGTCTATGTTCACATCATACAATACTGGAAAGTGGAAACGAATTCAAGTCAGTAGTTACATTTGACTAAAGGGTAAATGTGTAATTTAATTTATAAAAAAAGTCAAATCGGACAATAATTTTGGGACAAATTTTTTTGACAAAGTGGACAATAATTTTGGGACGGGAAGAGTAATATACTACTATAGACTATAGATGAGATAGATAGAATACTAATACTATGTATGCTTTTTCAAACAGATTTCTAGTGGCAAAATTTTCAAGATTTGGGAGGGGTAAGACCTTGGGAAGGATTTGCTTTCTTTTTACGTTGGCATAGAGGTTCCTGATTATGTGATTATCACTACTCAATAATACTGTACTCAATCTCCCTCCCCCAACCCTAGCCGTCCCTCCCTAAAATTTTTTTCTCCTTCCCCATCTCCCTTCATGGGCGGATGGGGGAACTGATTCATTTTTGTTTATTTCTAGTTGTTTACAACGTTTAATAAGTGAGATTTGTTTCAAATTATTGTTCCTTCAATAGATCAATTGTAATCTATTGAGAGGGTAAGATTTTTTGTTGCAGTATGATTTTTTGTTGCAGTGTTCGTGGTATCTTGGGTATGGTTATGACGATGTTCGTGATTTCGTTCGTTGCTTCAAGTTGTGCGGTTCGAGAAAATTCAGTCATCATAGATTTATTTAACAGATCTATGAGTTGGGGCCTTCATCAGAAGATTAGAGATATATTCTTAATTAGATTGATTATCTGGCACGTGATATGTCCATCGTTATTTTGGATAGATGTAGATAGGTTTATCCACGAGAAACACAACAATAGTGATATGTTTGATTGTAAGTTGTGTTCTTGTTTTGACTGTATCTCTCATTATCAATCGTTGCTGGACGATTTCTAGTAAAAAATAATATAATATCGTTTTTATTTTAAAAAATAATAATAATAATACTATACTCAATGATACACAAATGAGTATAACTTAGACATTGACAAATTCTTGTTATACATATTGAATACATATATAAAAAAAGACTTGAAAATAAATTTGTATACCCAAAATACTTAAAAATAAATTTGAATTTTTAAAATAAAGAAGCATGACTCACAATTTTGGTTTGGTCTCACTAGTCAATAATAGTAGTCAATACAGTTTGATCCGACCCAGCCCAACGTCAGTCGGGGAAATGAAAATGTGGCGGGAACCGAGTCATCAACATTTCACCGGTTTCCACAACTCAGTCTCCTCCTTTTCTCAACGAGGGAGCATTTCGAAGAACGCATCCATGGAGAAATACTTGGTTCCTGCCCCTCCGCCTTCTCAAAATCCCAAGCCCATCTCCAAAAGGTGAACATTTGCTACTGTAAATTTTTTTTTTTTTTTTGGATTTTCTGCAGATAGGAGTTGATTTAGGTTCCGTTCGATACTGAGTTTCCGTTGATTTTAAAACTCCTGTGTAGGTTCCAATGGAGGAGAAATATAATAGAATTGAATGGAAAACTCGATTCGAAGTATCGTCGCGAAATTTCCAGTTTATCGATGCAATCTTACGCCCAAGTAAGCTCAGTTTCTTGCCCTCTTAATTTTAATTTTTGTTGTTTTGCCCTCAAATTGAGACGGTAAGGGTTGAAATTTTTTGGTGGGTTGATTTTTGGTTTGTTGTTTGGATACATCTGAAGGTCGGAGCTTTTCCTCACGCGTACCACATTGATGGTGGCGATTTGTGTCCGACTCATGTATGTCAAATTTTCAGTAATTTCTGTAACCTATGGAGTTTAAGAAACTTTTATTTAGTCTTATTTTCATCCGAAATTAAGTAATTGTGTGGGTTGATAGTTACTGATGTATATCATATCCTTGAACAGGTGCATTCGATTGTTGGAGGAAGTAATCCGCAACTAATAACAATGTAGGTACCTTACTTCATTGTTAAGTGAATTTTCAAGTTTTGCCATTTTAATTCTGCACGAGATGATAGAAATTACCCTTCTTGAACAATTGTATTGGTTTACTTAGTGTTACGAATCTATCAGTTATTCCTTCGACTTGAATTTGTTTATGTTGTAAAATTCTACCTCAACATAGACACGTATAACACAACTCAAATGAAAATCATACTTTGTGATTTCTTTTTTCCTTTCAAGTTTACTTTCATGATATCGTATAATAGATTACTCAAGCCTTCTACATTTTTAACAGGGAAGGTGTCTCAGCTCTAGAATTTGACAGCAAGGTAACTGGCTCCTAAATCCAGCTTTGATTTTAATTATATTAGTATTAATTAATTGATTCCTTATTGTCATGATTCATTATACATCTAAGCTGCCCTTGTACAGTTTTTACACCCTCTTTTTGTTCTGACAAATGATTGATCGACAATTGATGCATTATGTGACAGGGAATATATCTAGCTTCCGTGACAAAATCGGGTTGTTTGACAGTTCATGATTATGAAGAGCTTCGTTGCAGGGGTAAGATTTCTTGCCATTATGCATTGCCCATTAAGGTTTTGTTTTCCTGGGTCAGATATTGTTGTGTGTGTGTGGCATGTATATCTACAAAATCTTTTTCAGAATATGGAAACCTTGTAAAGTTGGTCCAATTTGATATTGTTACTGTAGTCTATTTACAATGGTATGCACTATATACGATCCTGTTCTGATGGTCCATGTGTTCACGTAGGTGTACACAAGTAGCCACTGCTTTTCATTATGATCCCTAAATCATTTGGTTCTCTCTCTTTAGTTTTCTAAACTTCTACATGGTGAACATATGCTATTGATCTCTTTTTTAGCTGTTCATTTTGTATTTTAGCTGACAGGAGTTTTTTTTTTCATTTGTTTTTTGACTGACACAGTATAGACTCCGAGTAGAATTTAGGACTTCTGACGATTTCCTTTTGGCCATTCTTTTTCGGTGCATCTCGCTCACTGTGTTCTTTTTTCACGGAGTTGCCTTTTTCTCCTGCATTCAGTAAACCTGAAGGATTCTGCACTCAAAGAAGATGAAACAAAACAGGTGCTGCACATTGCTACTGGTCAATCCCTCGATGTTGTTCGGTGGAATCTTTCAAATCAATATGAGGTATGCATACACATGTACTTCAACACACGTAGTGCATACAACTTCTTTACCTTTTTAACTGATGATTTAACTCCTTGTGCATAATAAAAAAAAATAACTGTTTTCCCAGGCCATGATGAAGCGAACTGAGTTTATCTGTTGGTTCATTTCGTTATAAATCAACTAGAAGATCAATCATGACCCTTGCAGCTTTATTGACTTCTATGTAGTCTTGCATATATAAAATCACGTTGCAGATGCTCTGCTGTAGTTGTATTTTATCTAATCAATGTACTAGATTTTGTTTCATGAATAAATGAAAGCAGACTGAATGATAAACTTTTACTTTCAGACGATTCTTCTTTTTTATTATTATTATTATTTTTTTTGTATAATCCACTTTTCTTTATTGCATGCCTACACAGCATGAACAATTTAAATTTAGAGCTTCTAAATCTATCATATTAATGTGGTAGGAGGTGTCCCTCATTACTTTTGAAAAGCCCTTTGAGAACTATTAGCAAATGTTGTACTGTTCAGCTGAGATTTCTGAGAATTATGCAGTTGGCTCAAGTTTTAGGTTGTCAGCTTGCGCTCTTTTGTGCAATAACAAAATCAGAGGTTCCCTCTCCAGATTAAGATTACTTAAGTAATATACATAATTAATTTATTGGAAAAATGTACTTTTATCAGCAAAAAGGCTCAGATTTGTTTCCTTCTCCTTGTGGCTGTTGGAAGTGGAAGTCACATTTTTTTTTTTTTTGTAAATCCACCCCAGTGGACCCCACTTAAATGTGGGTAAAACCCCCCTTACAACCTCTGGTGGGAATCGAACCCTGACAGCAACCTAACCACTAGCCTGTCATTTAATTCCCGGAAGTGGAAGTCACTTTTTGTGCATTATTTTCTGCAATTACTTCTGCAGTTTTTTCTCTTGCTACCCTGGAGATGCTTGTTGAAATATCATAGCTAGGAGTTCCCTGCATGATGGTGCGCTGAGCTTTTGTACTCACATTATCTGAGTTAGGTGATAGCCATAGGAACATTCTCAACAAACATTAGGGAGTTTTGGATTTTTAAGAACGGAGTTACGTGCTCCAATGTATTGGATTTATTATATTTAACGAAATTGCCTAATCTTGTGTCTCCACTTTCTTTCACCATTGAAGGTTATCTACCCACTTTCTTGGTTGACCTAAGTACAAGGAAAAAAAAATTTAGAAACTGGCAGAAAATCATGAACATCTAAAGTTTATTTTCTTGTTCCTTTTGTCAATTTGTTTGATGAATTTCATCTGGTTTGCTGAATTTCGGATTAACCTCAATGGGAAATTAAAATCATAATTTGAGGTTCAATTGATGAAATTAGTAGCCTTCAAGTTCGAGTGAAAAGGGACTATGAAATCACATCATGATGTTAAAAAACTAAAACTATTTACCGAGGCCCTTAGACAGGCAAGGTTAACCTCGTGATGATAAATACATTTCTTCTCCTTTTTGGTTTATTGATGTTTTCACTTATCAAGATTGCTCTGAAGATGACATTTCTGTCTCAACTAAAAAACCGCATAGTTTACCTATAATCATTTATGAAGTTAATTGATCTGTTTTCCTGGTTAGTTTTTTTTTTTTTTTTTTTGGGGGGTTCTTTTTACTACTAAAACTCTGATTGTCATTTCATTTCAGGTTGCTTGCACGTCTAGAAGAAGTGGTGAAGTACATATTTATGACATTGGATATGTGTCTTCTGAGCCTGTTCATGTAAGTAATGCTTTTTTCAAAAAGAATTTTGAATGTCTGGGAATATTTGTAACTGCAGTCCATCTTTCGATACCCATATGCCATCATTCTCACCGAAGATGTAAAACATGCTTAGGTTTACTTTCCCTAATGATGTTTCTTTTGTTTCTTAGTTGCTTCAATTGTAAAAGGTATTGCTGTAAGAATGTCTTCCAGCTCGAATGGTTATGCTGTTTGCTCTTTGACACAAACCTTAGTGTGTCATCATCTGTCATACCTATTTTGCTATTAATATCTGATAAAATCTACTTGAAACCGCCTCTTCTACCTGATTTTGGTGTTGCAAGTTTGTCATAACGACAACGATGACATTATGGTGATCTTTTTTTGTGTGTGTTTTTGGTTTTTTTGAATAGAAATTTGATTTCTATTACCATGGGAAAATAGATACACAAGGACAATGTAAAAACCGATTTCAACTTTGACAAAAGTCAGGATGAAATGAAATCTAGAAGCTTAAATCATAATACCTATAACATCTGGTACCGTGATCCATTTTACACCAGATCTTTGTCTGTCTATTCTATACACAAATCTTTGCCTGTCTCAGTTTGGTGTTCTCTAATTCCACCCCTCCCCCTTTTTTTCTGTGTACTGGGTTTGGACATTTGCTGACAAGAAATTAACATCTCTCATGGATTTCTAAAAGATTCATGTTTCTGCATTCCTTTAACATTTTTGAAGCGTGCTTGTTGTTTTTGTTATCCATCGCTGTTCAGTTTTGGAGGATTCTTCATACTTTTGTAACACGCATTTCTACCCATTTATTAACAGATATTAAAGAAGAGACCTACTGTTGGTATTCATGGATGTGTTGTGCAGAAAGGACTTCCTGATGTTGCTTTTTCTTCAAATGATGATTCAAGGTCGGTATAATTAAGCATTAGCAGTTTTCTTAACAATTTGTTTCCTTATGGGAAGACCAAGCGTGAGCATTCTTCTTGCTAATTCATTATTCTATGGATGTTGAACCCTTGTTATTAAAAGTCATCCATCTTTTCCAATGGTGTAACTCATAGGTTTGCATACATGAGTGGTTTGGGTTATGGAAAGGGTCATTTTATCCTTCAGTTAAATGATTTCCATATTTGCTTTTCTGCTCCATGATTTTTATGTAGTTTACTCACCAGGGTAATCACTATTTCAAGAAAAGAGTAGGAAAAGAAAGAAGTAAACATTCTGCATTGCTTTGCTCTTCACCCGCCTCACCATAAAATTACTTTTATCAGCCTAACATACTTTAATACTTGACTCTTTCGTCTCTTAAATACTCTATTGTAGTTTCATACACAATTGTATCTTATTTGTATTGTTCATACTGTCGCCTACATGGAGCATCCACTTATATCACACTTTTAACAGGGTACTTGCATCTGATATGCATGGAACCATCAATGTATGGGATCGAAGAAAGAGTGATTTTCCATGTCTTCACCTCACAACAAATTCTACTTGCACCATTAACAGTATCAAGTTTAATGTGGATAATCAGGTCATTATCTCATCTTAAGTTTTATAAGAAACTACGATAATTTTTTTTATTTATTTAGTGTTTTTTTTTTTTTGGCACAAAAAGTATGATAATGATCTGTCGTGAAAGTTTTTCAAGAAGTTGTTTGATGTTTTATGGATCCTCGTATTCTATTGAATCAGCAGGTTATTATTGGTGCTAGCAAAAATGGGATGATATATATGTGGGATATACGTGGAGGAAGCTCATTTAATGCTTTCCAGAATGATAAAACGGTACTACTTTAAAAATTGTTACATTAGTAGTTAATTGTTCATCCAGTAAACACCAGTTCAAATATGCTAGTTCAAGGAAATTGTATTAATCAATATGTGAATCTTTTTTCTAGGAAGAGCCAAGCCTATCTTTACTCTGCCATTTGTGTTATGCCACTGATCTGAATAGATCTCTAATAAGTAAATGTTTCTTTCTTTTCCCTCTTTCCCTTTCAGTGGTCTTAGATATTTATATCCTTTGATTCACAGAACTTTCCTTGTTCTTCTTGATGTAATTTGTACCGTTATGCTTTTTGTCTTTACCAACTTGACACCTTAATTCCGCAAATGATGACCTTTAAGTGAATTATATGTCTAGATTATTTGTCAAAGCACAGTCTTGTTGGTTGTCCTTCTATGGCTTTCAGAGCAAGAACAAGAAGTCTTTCACTCATTTCCAATATCCTAATCCCTCTTTCTTTCTTGTAGGCATACTATTCTCCTCTAGCATCAGTGAAACTATCCTCTGAACTGGAGAAAATTGGGTCATTAAAGGTATTAAATTGCATCTCTTGGAAATAATGTAAGGATTGAACATTTTAAATATATTAAAGGTATTAAAGTACATCTCTCACACTATCCCTCCTTTTTAATAAGGAAGGATAGAACACTTTACTTTTTTTTGATTTGATAAAAACTTTTAATAATGTTAATTCTTTCTGACTTACACCTTTTTGTATATCTCCTGGGCTCAGTAAGAAGCTAATTTTCTTATTACATTGCAGGCTCAATCAAATATTGCTTTGAAGGAAATATTGTCCATTGACTTAAATCCATCTTGTTCACATCAATTAGCATTCCATCTTGACGATGGTTGGTAAGTAGCCAGTTATATGCTTATTTGACTTATCTAGCATTGATCAGGTGTCCAAGAGAAAATTATTGGAAAGAACCCTCACTGGTTCTACAATTTTTACCCCAAAATTTATGGGGAGTACTTAGCTCGCATGTTTGCAAATTTTCCAGGAATTGTATAGAAATTTGGAAATGTTCAAAAAAGATGTACTGTGCAGAGGATCAAAATGCACATGGAACAGAAAATGAATTTTATTTATTTATTTATTTATTTTTGTCTAAGAGTTTCTATGGCATATTTAACAGATATAGTTACTCATGGCCAGTTCATTTCTCATCAGGTCTGGTGTTTTTAATGTGCACAATTCGCAAGTGACACATATTCATTGCCCTCCTCCACCTTGGTTGTGAGTATTAGAAGGGTTGCTATTATGTTACTTGATGGAAGTTATCCATGGCTTTATTCTTCTCTTAGGAAGATTATTAATTTTTGTTTTCTTTGCCTGTTGATCTGATGGATTAGAGATGGCTGCAATGATTTGACTTACCTGTCCTACATGAGGAAGCCCTCCTGGTTGCCTGAACATTCGGTGAGTATTTTACATTAACGCTTTTGTATTGATTTTTAGAATTGCCAGAAGCATGTCACTGGTGGTGCTATGGTATGTGTGAACTGGTGTTCTGAAACAAGAATTTCCGAATCATGCTTCTTTGTGATACTCTTTCCTCTTTAACTGAAAAATATAATAGTAGAGAGATATTTTGACCATTTTAGAATCTAAAAATATTTTGTTTATCCCTCTTTGGATTGACAATTTACTTATACGAATATAGGAGACAGAGGATCTCTAAATTCAAGATAAGGAATCACAATCCAAAAGCAATATTATTTCTCAGATTGGGCCAGTAGTGCAACTTTCATTGGTTTATAGGTCCTATATATATAGATAATTCTTCTCTTGTCAATTCCATTGATAAGTGGAACTAGAGAAGAACTTCCAAGGGATTGGTCACTATTTATCTAACTTTCGTGTAGATATATGCAGTTGGATCATCATCAAACTCTGGGCTACATCTTTTAGATTTCTATCAAGATCGGACATCCCCATGTCATGTGGATTACAAGTACGATACTTCGATAATGTTCATATAAGTTGCATCTTTTTTGCTTTAGTTATGAATACTTTTTGTCATTCATTCACGAACCCATATACTGTGTATGCTATTGTGTCGACATTAGGAAAGGAAATAGTCTGTTAATCTTAGATTTCATATTGATTCACATTTTGAAGTTTTAATTTAGAGATCTCTAAGGTTTTTCCATTTTTCTCTTTCCATAGTCTGAAAATGTGATCCCTTGACTTCAGACTGGCGAGTGATAGGAATAATTGTCATATTTTTCGCTTTTTTTAAGAGCTTAATCAGATTTTGTTGCTCTTAGTGAGGACTTGCAAACTATGGATGGCATAAGTGGGAAGCATAAGCGGAACATATTTATCCCACTTGCTGAGGCAGTTACGGCATGTGCGGCTCATCCAATTCATGGTGCCATTGTAGCCGGGACAAAGGTATGTACAAATTGATGAGAAAGTAGGTGCAAAACAGGAGACAGTATCCGTGTTTCTGTCTCTGCAAGCACGAATATTATCTTTTTGTTGCTTGAATCAGATCGTTTTAACCTTACGGTTCTTTTTTATTTCAAGCAGCCAGTACCTCAAAGTTATTTTAGTCCTAGTGATGGTAGCCTAAAACTATTCGCTTTCAGAGCAAATTGCTGCCCCTTAGTTAGCTCCTTCCATTTCCTAGGTGGTATCATGTCTTAATGATTGCTGTTTTCCTCAGGGGTCATCTTTGTTGCTGCTTTCACAAGAATTCATTCCCTACCAGGAGACAGATGACTCTTCTTGGATATAATTTTAGGAAGCCATCACGAAATCATCTGGAGAGCACACACCTACGGATTCAATATGCGGCATTACGCATTTGATCTGTGAATTGGAGAAAAACCGATATCCACATCAGGAAGAGCTTGTGTTTTCCCAACTTTGAGTTCATGCCGAATACCCCAGTCCGATTGGGAGGAGGATCGTTAAGTTATTGGCATATGACCTTTTCAAGTTCAAAATCGACACAAGAAGTAGAGCACTTGCCTCTTGTACATCTTAGTCTGGAAAAGGAGAAAGGAAAGGAAACTGAATTTGATTCTTTCATTACGTGATAGTATCAGGTATTGCCATTAGTCTTGTCTATACTTGTAGAATTTTGTTCCATGTAAAGATGAGCAAACAGCCAAAAGATGTAAACGCACGACAGAGAATCAAGGTAGGAAAGAGGCAGTGTTCATCTTGATTCGGGCATAGTCTTGTGACTTCCTCCCCACACACCACACCTCCCCCCTCCTTTTTTTTTGTGTGTTTATAAAGCGATACAGTAGATTGAAATTTATTTCTTCATACCATTGAGCCAAACAAATGTCCATTTTACAAGTGACCTGTGGGGCAAATGTTGCTGCATTATATGTGGTTGTGAGGAATGGCCATTGCGATTTGCTTATCTCTTCATTCAATTAAATTGGATGTGATGCTCATTATTCGTTACGTTCAGACTTAGGCCAATTTGAGTTAACAAGAGATAGATCCATCATTCATGCGAGAATGATACCCATAAATTCATGAATTTTATTACTCACTCCATTTGTGAGATTTCATATTTGTCACTTTAAAATCCAACACAAACACGTGTGCACATTCCGTTTCAACTTTTCATCTCTGATCTTTTTAGTAACAACTTCATTTAGTGAGAGAAAAATGTAAGTGAGTTGGAGAATTGACGAGTTTGTTTTTTTTTTTATTTTATTTTTTAAAGTTGTCAGTGTGTAGATGAAAACTTGAAAATTTTGATTATTGATGTTTTTTCAATAACTATGTAAAACCTTGAACGTCTCTCACAATGAAATGGAGGGAGTGCAGCAATTACCTTATCTTCGGTAATCCCACTTTTTTAAAAATCATTTTTTGCCCTCTCAAATTGTTGAAGGGGATCTCCCTCTCAAGAGCACAATTACACAGTTAAAACTTCAAATGTCAAAAGATTATGGTTCTATGACATTTTATTTTTATAAAATATTTGAATTACCTCTATCTATTTGAATCTTCAATGATGTAGGATAACAATTTCTCACAATAAACCCCAAATCGTTGCATCCCACCCGACTCCAAGGCATTGTGAAGCTAGGTCTATCGGTGAGTTTGGTGACAAGATCTAATTAACTGATTAGTATTTAAGAAATTTTGGGTTGTATTCAATTAATTGTTATCTAGTAACGGATCAGCACATATGGAAGTTGGCGGAAGTTAAGATTGTCCCAATGAGATTGGACAGGTAGTACTATTTAAAAGTTTTTGATGCAAAGGGGGAAAAAAAATGATGACATTTATAGTCAACGAAGAAAATAAAAATACAGATTGAGCACCGGTGACGATCCCATGTACTTCTTAGCTTCTATTCCTTCCTATCTTTATTATAAGACATTTTAATTTCTCTTAAATATCTTTTATTCTGTTTTTTAAATTAAAAATAAAATTTTAAATTATATATATATTTTTTACATTTATTGTGTTCTTTTTTTACATTTATTATGCTCCCTTAATCATTAGAAGATATTTTTAAAGTTTCATTTTCAATTGAAAAACATTATAAATAAAACCTATAAGAAATTAAAATGTCTTGTAATAAGGATATGAGGGAGTATATATTAGTAAGATGGCTAGATATGTTTCAATTTATGATTTCCCTAAGAAAATAGTTAAGTTGTGAGGGAAAAAGAAGCTACATATGCAATCTCTCACTCTCTCTCTATATATATAGGAAAATTCTAAGGTCGGTCATTGATTTTTGACTGAACCATACAGTTATTAAGTGTCCAATCAAAATATAACATGTCATTTACAATGATAGGGCAAGAAGTATACAAACAAATCCTTTTTAATCCTTACTTTTTCTTAATTAATGGGATAATTTACATAGTTTAAAATAGTCCAAATAAATACATTAATTTAATTAAAAGTCTGTTCCCTTCATAAAAACCATGTAGTTGGACAAATTTCATCCACTCTGACTTTCATCGCCGATGAAATTGCCCACTCCCCCGACAACTTGATTTTCCGACGTCAGTTCCTTGTTTTTGTCCATCCATTTTTTTAAAAAAACTTTTTTGATTGCGGATAAGATTTCCCGTGAGAAAGAAACTACCAACTTCCATTTGAGCAGAATGATGCGCGCATACTTAATTGGTTATCCAAGGATATTTGGAATAAATAGAGAAAGATGTTCAGTTAGTATCAAATTGTTCTATGATTATAAATAATTTGGACATTTGAATATTTAAGTTTAAGAAATAAAATTGTACTATGTACGTCCCAATAAAATTGATTTCAATTAAATTTAATATTTATGTTATTATTATGCTGAGTAGGAATTTGTTGGAGAAATTCATGAAGTTTTATAAAATATTGTAGTGTATTTGGGATGAATAGAGGAAGATGTTCAGTTATTATCAAATTGTTCTATGATTATAAATAATTTGGACAATTGAACATTTGACTTTAAGAAATAAATTGTACTATGTACGTCCCAATAAATTTGATTTCAATTAAATTTATCATTTAAGTTTTTATTACGCTGAGTAAAAGTTTGTTGGAGAAATCCATGAAGTTCTATAAAATATTGTAGTGTTCTTGAAGAAGAGACATGAGATTAGGGAGAGGGGGGCAACGTGAAGGAGGAAGGAACAGAGGGTCGCACAGAGATGGAAGATGGAGGCAACTGAAAATTTGGGAGGAAATAGTAGTTTTTGAAAAGTTGGATGTTTTGTTAAAATTCTGAAATTTCTCAAACAATTTATTTATTTATTTATTTTTTTAACTTCAAAATGATTCAGTGAAATTGGTTCCACCTTCTCTTTGAACACCATTACTTCAATCTAATGGCTATCATCTATCCTATCTATCCAACGGTGCTTAATATATAATAACTGAACCATTTAGTCGACTGAACTGTATTCGCTCCTATATATATATATAATATATATATATATATCTAAATCTACGCAAACCCAAAATGAACGGTTTAATTTATAAAAAAATAAAAAAAATCTGTCACTATCTTCAAATAGATTTATGACTTTAGGATTTTCAAATAAACCACATTTTTTCTCACATGAAAGTTTCAAACAATTTCCTGACCTTAAGTAAAACTGAAACTATAACCTTAAACTCTCAAGTTCTTTGTCTTTTTTATTTTTTTATATTTTTATTTATCAGATTGCAACTGCAAGGTATTTTATCTTCAGCATATATATATATATATATATATATATAGTTGATGCTAATTTTTTCAAATCCACTTCCCTATAAATATTTCATCTTTATTAATTTTCAAAGAATGATTTTTCTAATTTTTTTTATATATAAATAGCATTTATAAGCTAGTCATGAGTCTTGATCCTATCAAGATGGTTATTCTGGTTTCGCTTGTAGGTTAGTCAGGGATGAAGATCAAAGAGCATAAATTCAACCTATGTTCACACAAGTCGATATCTTCCCCTCCATCCCCTCTTTTCAGAGAAAAATCTTCATAACGTTCATCTCGATTCATGGTCTTTTATTCCGCAGATTACGGTGTCAGTAAGAATTGTTAGCGGATTGCATAGAATGTTGTTATCAGCATGCAATTTTTTGTCCTAGGCAAAGATGCTCTCAACAAAGCCAAGGCTATGGATGCAACAATGAAGTCTCAAATCTCAATTGTTAACTCCAAGTCACAATCAGTTAATCTAAAAGGCTAGTAATTAGAAAATTGCTCCTCTTCTCTCCCTCTCTTCTTCCTCTCATCCTCTCATCTTCATCAATTTCTACAGATCTATGAGATTTATATTAATTGGCCTTCAAAACTAGGAGATTTATTTTATTGTTTCTTGATTCCTTTGACGCCGTCTCCATCTCATTCCCTTCACTAATTGACAAATTGGGTAATTATTCTCTCTTTTTTCTTGTCTCTTTTTTTCTCCCCTTTAATTTTATTCCCCATCTTCCCTTTCATGGGAGGATGGGGGGATAATTATCTCTCTTTCTTTTTAGTATTTTAATTGAATAAATTTAGCCGTCAGTATATCTTTGATTTTGCTGACCTTGTATTATTAGTATCTTGATGTGTTAGTAGTTTGTCAATAGATCTCGTTCTATTGATTGTAATTTAGTAGTGTGTGATCTTTAGTCTACGATTTTGTCCATGATTTTACTGTCATGCTTCATGGTCATGGTTTATGTTCGAGGATTTACAGTGAAAGTAGATCAATGTTTTAGATATACTTTTGTGGGCCTTCATCTGATGATAAGTGAAGTATTCGAGATCGGAGTTATTCTTTGGTACGTGATACTTTCAACAAGTATTTGCGGATGCTATGGAAGAGTTTGTGACTTGGTCATCCGCAGTGAAAATCGGTTGATTCTTATAATTCTAATCGATTGTAATATGTTAGTGATTGTAATCTTCTATCAATCGTGATTGGACGTTTTCCAACAAAGTTAATGATAGTTTCTTTTATCTCAAAAGAAAAAAAGAAAAGAAAAGAAAAAAAAAGCCAAGGCTAGCACCCGTTGATTTCAACTGCAACTGCCAAATTTATGTAGGGAATTTATAATGCATACACTAGATATTTTGATATCAAACACACAATTAGAGCATCTCCAACCAAAACACTAAAATACAAAATTTAGTGTTTGGGTGTAAAGTTTTCACTCTAACGAACAAACTAAATTACTACACTATTTTGGAGTAATGAATAGTATTACACTAAATTTGGTGTAAATTGTCCATTACACTATTTTAGTGCACTATCTTTTTATTTGGGTCTAAGGATATATTTGCTATGCAGTTAAACTTGTAAAACAAATTATGTTATAAAAATTATATCATATTAAATATTTTGTTGAGATCTACAAAATAAGACCCATATGGAATATAAATTTTTATTTTTATTTTAAATAATTTTTAGTTATTATTAAGATTGAGTATGAAAAATAAGTAAAAAAATTTGATACTTCTAGAATCAAATAACAAGCGATTATAAGGAACATATTTCACAAAATTATCACCAAATTACATTATTTTAATCAACTACAAAAATAAAATTTAAACTAAAACATTTAATAGGTAGACATTTTAGTGCATCAAGGTTGGAGTGTAAAGAATTTTGGTGTAAAAAGATACTTAGAATATTTCGTTTGTTTACTAAATTTGGTGTAAATTATAGTGCAATGGTTGGAGATGCTCTTATATTGATCACCTTATTTTTGCTCCAAAATGTTCTAACTAAAACTTTATGTTGGTCAAATTATGTTCTACTAAACAAAAACTTGTCATGCAATTTTATTATGTTTTCTTGGAGGAGATAAAACCACATCTTAATAATTCTTTTAATATATACTTTTTTATAAGATTTTACTGCATTTATCTTGTGGTTTTTAATTTTTCCAATGCTTATCGCAATTAAATTTGATTCCCCTCTATTTAAAATTCATTAGACATGAACAAAAATGTAAGATTTCAAAGGCCAAACCCGTGCGGTCGCACCGGTCCATAACCTAGTATGTGTGTATGTGTGTCTATATATATGTACATATATATATAGATATTAAAGGAATAATACTGGTTAGAATTAGTTGTTTAATTAGCTATCCAAAGTTTTTAATTGTACATGCGTCACTATTTCAATTGCCCTAAAAAATTTATATGTAAAAATAGTATTTACAACTTTACCTATTAAGCTCAGATAAAATATCAAATCTAAAAATATTTTAATAAATTCTTCAAATATTTAGATTATGTGATAATGATAACCCTTAACTAACCGGCTAAAAAATAATAATGTTTCTAAGATGATGCAAGTTTTAAATTTTTTAAAAATAATGTCACGATAATGGTTTCGAAATGATACAATCAAACAATAATGAACAAGAAAAGATAGATCATATCCTTTCTTTTAAAATTTGAAAACTAATGCGGAACATAACAAATTTCAATGAAACACAAGTATTTTATTACCATGATTCTCTGCTTATTTATGTATTTAGGTTTATTTTCACTCAATACTGTGTATTGGTAACTCTTAATCACTACCAGATCTTTTACTTTACATTAATAAATTGGGTGCCATCTCTGGCAAGTACCGCGCTGGTTCAACCAAAAAAAAAAAAGTGTTTAGGTTTATAAAAATATGTGTCAAAATAAAATTTAATAATATTATGCAGTAATTATCACTATTGACAATATTTCTCTTATATTTGAAATTCAGATATACTCCCTCCGTCCCATAATTATTGTCCACTTTGCCCAAAAAATTTTGTCCCAAAATTATTGTCCAATTTGACTTTTTATGGATCAAGTTACACATTTGTCCTTAGTAAAAAAACATTATCCATAAAATCTTTGTGGTTAAACAATTACTTATGTAGGGGTATATCCGGTTGTTCAAGGTAAAATATAGTTAAATTTGACTAAAAATAAAATCTTTCATTTTAGTAAAACTGGACAATAATTATGGGACGGAGGGAGTACTTACTAACTTTTTCTCTAAAAATTTGAACTGTTTTTGCTGCCAAAACTTTATTAATCTACATCTATAAATGCCCTATCATTAGACGAACAACGACACACCAAAAAACATTCAATTCATATGTTCATTTCAGCATTTTCTGCACATGATTATTCAAATCGTTTTTTTTTTTTTTTTGCTTACATGGATTCCAAAATTAATTTTCTCAACAAACTAGAAGGTACAAAAGAAATCAGTTGGAATGGAAAGGTTAGACTAATATGTCATTTTTAGTGTCATCCCAGTTCATAATTTTTTTGTTTATTGTTTATAATTGTCTGCTTGACTTTTTGGAGTAACAAGATACTTGGTGTTGTGAAACAAGAGTAGATATAAAAATTCAAAAAATTAAAATTTTTTCTTTTTTTTTTTTTTGGCGTTGGATGAAATTTTGCTCACCTTTTTTTTTTTTTTTTGCAGATTATAGTTGAAAAGCAAATTATCTTGAATGAAAATATATCTAAATCAATGTTTCAGCAAAACGTGTTCAAACATGTTGTATCAATCCTAAAAATAATAATTACAAGTTTTGTTTTTGTTTTATTGTTACTTGAACCTACGGTTTTCACCTTCATATAGACGATATTTTATAACATAAGTTATATGTTATTATATATGAGTAACTCTAGGATAGTATAAAGAAGAGTAAACTACTGAAATGGTCCTTTACATTAGGTAGAAAACTTAATTTGGTTCTTTAAATTAAAAATTCACTTATTTGATCCATTACATTTGTGTTTTACATTAATTTAGTCTTTTTTTTCACTTTTTTTGCTCCTTAACATTTGGGGGTTCTTAGGCTGACTATATTTGATCAAGTCAACAGAGGTATTTCAGTAAAGAAAATTTTTGAAATTTTTTTAAAAAATAATAAAAATAATTTGATTAAAATAGTATTAAAATTAAAATATTTCAAAAATTCAAAAAAAAATAAAATTCCAAACTCTGATTTTATGTAATTAATAATTCAAAAATTAAAAGTTGAAAACATAAAAAAAAATTCCAAAATCTGATTTACATATTTTTTCCCGTGGACCCCATTCAAAATTTTTCTTCTCGACGTTATTTTGTAATTTCTTTTCTCCTTCCCCAGATCTAACACATTCTCAAACCAGGGAAGGGAGAAAAGAAACTATACGGAGGGAGAAAAATAATTATAGAATAAGGTCAAGAAGAAAATTTTGAAAGGGACCCACGGGAAAAATATGTAAATCAAATTTTGAATTTTTTTAAAGTTTTTTTTTCATTTTTATTTAATTATAGAAAATCAAAATTTGGAATTTTTTAGTTTTTTTGAATTTTGAATTTTTAACTTTTAATATTATTTTAATCAATTTATGTTTTTTCTAAAATTTTTAAAAATTTACCAAAAATACCCCTGTTGACTTGATCAAGATGTGGCCAGCATGATAATCCCCAAATGTTAAGGATAAAAAAAGTAAAAATAGACTAAATTTGTGTAAAAGACATATACAATGGACCAAATGAGTGAATTTTTAACGTAAAGAACCAAATTAAGTTTTTATGTAAAGGATCATTTGAGCAGTTTACTCTATAAACAACAACAAGAATAATAATAACAATATGATAAGTATAAGAGTTTGAGTAGTTTTTTAGTGATAGAAGAAGAAGTGGATTCCATGCCGCCCTACCTTAGAATACGAAAGAGAGGAATAAAAGTTTTCTAATTCCCGATCGGTTTCAATTGAACCAACAGTCATTATAGCTTGCTTAACAAAGCGTTGATTTTGATTCCCAATGTTAGCCATTTAAAATGGTCCTTTACATTTTTGTTTGTAACTTTTTTTGTCCTTTGGCACTATTATACGATTTTGACCAAATTTATTTAAAAAATATCCCTATTGACTTGAATCGAAATATGGTCAAACTGTTAGAATAGCGTCAACGGACTAAAAAGTTACAAACAAAAATATAAAGGACCATTTCAGTCAAATGTTAGGTAGAGAACCAAAATGTGCATTTGACCTAATGTTAAGGAATATTTTCAGAATTTAGTCAATTTTATTTATTGTAATTTTAAAAATTTCAAGCTTCACTCCTGATCCATTTGAAACAAATTTTTTTCCCTTCTTCACTTTGAAGTTAATGTCTTCCATCCCTAGCTATCTGAATGATTTTATATTCTCAATTTCTTACTTCCTTTGTGTTATTGAATTTTTGAATTAGTGAACTTGTTTTAGGTCCTTACTTTCCTACTTGTCCACATCAAAGAATCATATGTGATCATTGGTGTTCCTTATTCAAAATATCTTGTTACCGTTAATCTTATTATTGATCTGTGGTTGGTTTGAGTAGATTACGTGCAAAGTGATTTGATCCTAAAGGCTAAAGGAATAAAGAAATTTTAAGTAGAATTGTAGCAAAAATAATTTTTAAAGGAAAAAAATGGTGTATTCATAACAAACAAGACTTTTTATTTTATTTATTTTATTTTTTCATTTCATTTTCAAACCCTCCCTTAGAATTCCCAGATATCATAATCATCGACTCGACTTTGCTAATTTGGTTATGGTAGTTGATTAACAATGTCAACTAGTTAACTTTTGACAAGAGAAGAAATTTTGTAACAAGGAAAATAGAGTTTTAGAAAAACTTGGTAAATTTGGAGTTATTTAAAGGATTACAAGATATTTATCAGTGTTATTCTTTTTATAAGCTGAACTACAAGTACCAAAAGAGTGAAAAAAAAAAAGAAAGTTGTTGGGGGAACCAAAGAAGAGGTAGTTGTCATGTTGTAATTTAGTTGATTCTGGCAAAATCAAGTGATTTCTTCCCATCATGTGCTTTTCCAAAATAGTTGTTCATGTACTCCTGATACAACACTTCTCTATATCGAGCCACACCATCGTGCTTGATCACTTGAGGCAGTGGACCGATCTTCTCTGTTGGTGTTGGTATGGTGAAAAATGGTATTGACACTCTTGATCCTTTACTTGTCGTCCGAACCCTATGTTCAGCACTTATGTACCTCCCATTGCTTATAATCTGTCCATCCCAATACATACATAACAACAAAAAAATATTAGCTGCAGGTCTTTGTACTTAGACATGCGTTCTAGAATTTTGTTTCAGTTAATATATATCAATGTTTTTATTACTAATTTAAATAACATGGGCGTATGCTATATTTCTAGTCTGAAAAGCATATATAAATCATATCTTTTAATGAAACTATTCAACTTATAAATGGAATAGATGATCTTGTTTGTCTGGCTATCACCTTTCACATCTCTAGTAAAGATTTATTTAACTCACTGTAATCACGTTTTAATATTAAAATGAAAGATTATGTGATATTTAGTGCCCAAAAAAAGGAGCGATAAGAATCAAACTAATTCATTTTGAGTAATTATGTACTCTCTTTATCCCACAAAAATAATTTTCTGAATTATAAATTGTACTAAAAACAGTACAATTTATAATCTTTATCGTGGACTATTTTTATAGAACGAGAGATATAACCGTAAAAAGAAAAAAAAATACTATTTTTGGTACTGCAATTACAAAAGGAAGGACGAATTTTGAGGTATATAACCTGTAGTGCATCACCAATGTTGATCACCAAAGCATTAGGAAATGGTGGAATCTCAATCCACTCTTCTTTCTGTCCTGAAACAACATCTTCTTCCACCTTGACATGCAAACCTCCGATACTATCTTGTAGCAATACGGTCAATGTGCCGATGTCAGAATGGCGACCTACTCCAACGGTGAGATCTGGATTTGGACATGGTGGGTAAAAAAGCATGTTAACCAGCTTTCGTCCCGTTAGTGAATCCAGTCTCGAGTCTTCCAGTTTTTCACCAAGATTTTCAAATAAAATCTCTAGGAGTTTCTTCACAATCTTATATGAAGATTTCAAGTACCGAAGTGCCACCTCTCTGAAAATTAAAGGATACCAAGTAAAGGTGAGTTTGAGTAACTATAAAAGAAAATAATGAGGATAATAACAAAATGGCAATGAATTTTTTGAATAACACGTTAGTAAGTTAGATGTCTCCATTTTACTATTCTGCATATATAATACAATTCTTACTACCTAACAAAATAGTCTATTTAGTTCTAGGTGGAGTATGCATATATTCAATGTTCAAACAATATAAAACATTAAAAAAAATATTTATCTCTTACTTGCACTGATTAGGCCAATGTTCAAGTGCCTCAGCATCATTAGTGTAAACCATGTTGAGATAATCTTTCCATTCCAAAGCCTTCTCTTTCTCAGGGGAGAAACTTGTTCCATACTTAACCAGGCGGCTCCGTCCCTCTCCCGGAAGATAAATCGCCTTTTCATCTGGAGGTTGCGTGAAAAACTGGTGGGCAGCCTGTTTGAGAGACTCCAACAGATCCGCTGGAATGCCATGGTTAACTACTTGAAAGAATCCGATTCTCTCAGAGGCATTAACAATGGCTTTTACTACTTCATCATGGTTAGGACCATCTAGCAACGACAAATCAATTGGGGAAATACATTGCTGCAAACCTGATGATGAATTTTGAGATCCCACAATCTTGTTGATACGCTCGGATGATGGTTGAATGTATTTTTCTGGGACATTTTTGATTCCTGAGTCTACTAGACCTTTAACCCCATTGCCATTTCGGACAACGAAATCAAATAAAGTGTTTGTGTCATCAAACGTTGGAGACATTTTTGAAGATTTGGGAGAAGCTTTTTTTTTTTTTTGGGCTTTCTCAAGGGATTTTTTTGATGATTTAGGGTTGTACAAACATAAGTTTATATTGTAGCTGTTTGTTCTATTAAGCACTTGCAATATATAGCAAAACGGCTTGAATATTCAAACAGCCACTGTAGAAAGCTGTGTGACAATGAACAGTCAAAAACAGGGGGAAAAATAGTGAAATTCGTAGGTTGATTGAGTCATGTCTATTAATTAAGATGATGTGAGAGCTGAACAAAGTCAAGGATATATATAGTATAGATTTTATATCATGTCGTGTAAAAAAATCTATTGATTATCTTTGTAATATGAATGAGTTAAGTCAATTAGGATTATGTGAGCATAAAATGAGTCAACTTTTTTTTAACAAAAAATAAAAGTAGATAAGACTGACCTTCTATGATACTATAAAAAACTAGAAAATATGAGTACGCAGGTCGTTTGGTGTGATATAGTCTACTTTTTGCATAATTTTTTAAACAAAAGTCTACTTTGGATATAAATGACTTTTACAGTTTGAAGTACTGATTTGGAAGGGCGAATTTCCATTAAAAAAACCTATCCAACTAGAACAGTGATTAATTGGGACGGTGATTTTAGGTGCTAGTACGTAATATACAAGGAAAAGATATTCTCTTTTTATCTAAAAAATAAGTTCACATTGAGTTTTGGAGTTTGTTCTATTTTTATATACAAATTTCATAATTCATTTTTTTCCCATGTACACTCTTTTTTATTTTCCTATCATCATGAACAGCACCTATAAAGCAAACTCTTGCTCTGAACTTAAAAAATAATAGAAAGAAGAAAAACTTGAGTAATCATACGTATTTGCATTTGCTTGAGTTTGGAGTCCAATTAGTTTTGAGTAATAAAAGTCAAATTTGACCCAATTAATTATTCACATGCGTGGCAGTACATTTGGTTTTGATATCGAATTCTATTGCTCTGGTAAGTAAATTCCAAATAAATACTTGATTGATACTCATATTATGGGAATACTTATTTTGTCCCCCAATAGAATTCGAGTTACAGTTTAGCTTCTAATGGTGAATCACATATATATCCACTGAAAACGTTCGAGACCCGTTGCAACTAAAGAAGCTAAAATTAATTCAAAGTGCACATGCAATATTTCCACAACCTATTCACTTGGCGTACTTGTTTTAATTTGTTGCTTTACCCTCACTTCACGAAAGGTTACGCTTGCTTTTGTTTCATTTTGAAGATATGATTTCCGGGCAAAGACCGCACATAAAGTCTTGGACGCTAGATGTAAATTTTTTTTTAATTGATTTTAAAATGTAATAATAAGTTATAAAAATGAAAAAAAGAAAAATACTTTTTGGGCCAATTTAGTCAACAAACTTACTAGCACATGCGAACCTAATTAAAAATAAAAATTTTTTTGATGAATTATCCATAAAGTTGATGGATCATGGAGGCCAAAAAGTCGTCATAAAACGTAGGTGATGATACAATGATGGACAAAATCAGAAGAAAAATACTTTAATTAATTTGAGATTTTGTTAGTAACATTAATAGTTTCTATAAATGTATTTATATTGTTTGGCTTTATTCTTCATAAATATCAAAAAACAACATTTTCTTATATCTTTGAATCAAACATCAACATCCTTGTGTGACTAAATGAAGGAGAATATTAAAACTAGGTATTTCTTTACTCCCGCAGTAGTAACTAAGTGGCAGGTAGTTTTCAAAAGACATTAAATTTGGGAGAATTACCCATATGGTTGATGTAATACTACTCAAATTCCTTTACCTTCTCTTGACCGGCAACTAACCACTTTTGACCGAAAAAATAGTACTCCTACTTTCTTGTCCAGCTTTAATATAATTTGTATTATAAATGAAAATTTAAGCTAGAATCACTTCCATATGGATGGAGTATTTTAAAATGACGACAACAACTTTTATGGTTCAACAATCAATTGTTTATAATCAAAGTGAAGAAAACGGCAACTTATTTTTTGAATGTCCAATATGTTCTTATGTTAGGAAAACATATGGAAACTATCAAATTCTAAGATAAGGAACAGATAGTTTATCTAAATGAACATAAACTGGCATTTTAAACGAATAAATAAAAATCACCACCAGCTTGCGATATATTGTATTGATCAGCTCAGGAGCAATTTGGTTGGTCTCTTCAATCTTGTGCCTTTTTTTTTTGGTCCAGTATTTCCTTCTCACACTGCTGATTGTTGTCTCTTTTTGGAAGAGTTGTTGATGGTTTATCGTGTTCCACTTCCCAAAATTTCCTTGGTTGCACAAACAAGTCCTTCGTGGCACAATGCACAAAATGGATCTACTATTGTGATGAACATATGTTCCAGTTTGGATACATTATTGTGCGCCCATATGTCTCTTGAATCTCTATATTCATTGTAGCTATTTAGGCTCATAATTGGATGTCTTCGGGCAGAGTTGAAAAGGATGCTAAAGTCCTCAACATGGTGGCAAGCGACGAGTCCGATTTCACTTTCCTCATCGTCGCAGCTTCCTTCAATTCCTTCAATTCCTTCAACGGAGTTGTTGGCGCGGTCATGGTTGACAAGGACGGCGACGATCTTACCAGCCTCAACCTATGTAACAAACCCTTGTTTCCTTCCTCAGCTTCAACTTCGGTTGTAGTTCTTGTCATCAAATCACGAAAACTAAGTCCTGAAGATCCACCAAACACTCCCGAATCCACACCGATGACTCCCTCGTCACAAAGTGAAGCCGAAACGTTCAAAATCCCGTGGAAGTGTCCCGATGGACGGTGAACGTGAACCGGGGTGATCATCTTTCCGAGAAGGTTACTGACAAGGCATCTTACGGTGCCAACCATGGAATCCTTGAATAAGTGATGCCCGATGGTGTAAATCTCCACGTTGAAAGCAGCGGTGGGGCAGTGGACGAAGTCTGAAGAAACCCTAAAGAGGAACTTGTCGTTCCAAGTTGGGTTTTCATGTCCAAGACAGTCCGTGCGAGTTCGTAACTTGAAGACGAATCATCATCAACCCAAACAACAGCGTAACTTTGTGTCTTTCCTTTGCTCTTCAAAGAAATCTTCAAGCCTTGAGCTGACACCAAGTTGATTTCAAGAACCAATTCACAGCTTTTCTTCTCCTCCTCCATCAAAGCCAGCTTCGCCATCAACTAAGTTGATCCCCGAAAAAGAAGATGAAGTCTCAGATTCTTCCTTTTTCTTTCTTTGTTTTGTTTCGCCCACAAGCTTTCTGGAAAGACCTACCCTATGTATGAGCATATTTATAAGGTTGGATTGTGGTTCTTAGGAATTATGGAAAGCAAAAACTGTATGATGGTGTGGTTTAGTTATTTGGAAACTCTTTACTAGTACAAAATATGAAGAATAGTATTTTTATTTGGCAATTTGCAAAAGTATCTGTTTGTTTTACAACCAAACACCCATATTAACGAAATCTCCACTAAATTGGCCAACCAGGTGAAAGTGTAAACCAATCAATAACCCCAATACTTTTTTATGATGAACATGGAAGATGAAAATGAAAAGTAATTTTTTTTCTTGAGAAACCAAACAAAAGATTAAAAAAAAAAAATTGGTAAGAACTGTAATATTTATTAGCAGAGAAATTTTACGAGAGTTGTATTATAAAATAAAAAGCTGTCCGGAGAAACATAGATGGGCACAGCTACACATAGAAAATAAGTTTTTATGTTTTCTGCAAAACCAAAGAAACTTGCCCAATTTGGAGTTTTACTCATTTTAACACAAAATTATACTAAAATTGAAACATCTAAACTACATAATAATTTTCGTACTAAGGGATATAAATTACTGTATGCAAGCCTGAATGCAGTTGTTCATCGTGTGTGGAGTGAAAAGAATATGAGGAAGTTCAGGATCCAGGAAATTGGAGTTGAAGTGTAGGGCTGATCTGATCAAAATTTTAGATGGAAAATGCAGACTGGGAATATCAAATGTGGTGCTGAAAACAGAAATTTTCTAACCATATTGGGTGTTAACTAGTTTAGATTTCTGTAATAGAAGGAAGTTGTAACATTGACCTGTGCTTGAAGAAATTATAAAAGTTTACATTTTACAAAAAAAATGATCAAATTTAAATTTGAATCCATTTTGGGTGCTGTAGATAATTTATTATCCTGCGTGCCAAAGAATGACATATATTGGCTGGTGAGTTGTTGATCTTGTTGACTTTTCTGATGTTTCTCTTGCTTCACTTGATTAATGTCAGTTTCTGCTTCTCCATCCGTTTACTTCAATAATGCAGATGATGACAATCAAGTGCATGTACGTTGTTCAACTCAGCAGACATAGTTTGGCTGTTTACATCACCATATTACACATATAGAGCACAGATTTCGATCCACAAGGAATATTTTATAAGAATACATAACATTTAATTAAATAATATGTAGTTAATAGTATGGTAGCTACAATGAATTTAATTAACTATTTTTTTAAAGAAAAAGTCATCGTCTTAAAATATAATGGAACCCCTATCTTATAATTAAAATATACTCCTTTAATCCTGGAGAAATAGTCCATGGTGCAATTTATATATTGTCTTGTTTCATAAAGTACAATTTAAAAACTACAAGGTGGACTACTTTTGTGGGAAATAAGTATTATTATTTAGAAAGCTTTTAAAATATGACATGACCATTTTTCTTTTCTTGTTATTATTGCGTTGATGGCATTGCTGCTCTAGACGCGAAGTTAACTACGAAGAAGAGGTCAAATTACTGCTTGAGACGCCCTAAACGAAAGCCTTTTTGACTCAAAATAAAGAGCTTTTCACCCGTGTTTTGAAGGTCTTATGCTACTACTCTGAATAAGTCAACTTTGCTTGTAGTACGTACGGTTCTTGAAACCATTTTCAGTACCATTAAAAAGGCAAATTATAAAATAAATATATGAAGAAACTCTAAACCATTTTTAATCAGTGCATTTGACCTCGAACGACTAGTTTATCATCAGCCATGACGGCACTTCGTACTCAAGCGATATGAGTCGAAATGATCAGAAGTTTTCACATTGTAAAGAAAATAGTCGGTCATTTGATATCACTGTTGTATAATTGTAGAATGGTAGAATCCGCAGGAGCAATTAATGCCCAGTGCAAATTGGGAAAAGGAGTATCAAAATTATTTGGCACATTTACGATTTCGATTTCAATCCACACAATCAGCTAACATCTCAATCCGCAAACAAGAATAAAATACAACTATGAATGATTTTCAGTGGCTATCAGATATTTGCGTTATTCTCATGCTTATTTGCTGATTCTAAAACACTGAAAAGCTGAACATGGTAGCCAAAAGAATGAAAACATAAAAATTCGAAGGAGAAAAACAAACAGCACGGTTCATGCATGTACATGCATGTAATTAGTTGACTCTGGCAAAATCAAGTGATTTCTTGCCTTCATGAGCTTTTCCAAAAAAGTTGTTCATGTAGTCCTGAAATACCACTTCTTTGTAATGAGCCATCCCGTCGCGTTCAACCAATTGAGGCAGAGGACCAATCTTCTCTGTCGGTTTCGGTATGGTGAAAATCGGTACAGACACTCTTGATTGTTTACTCGTGGTCCGAACTCTGTGTTCTGCACTTTTATACCTTCCATTGCTTAGAATCTGTACAGCATCACCGACATTGATCACCAAAGCACCCGGACATGGTGGAATCTCAATCCACTCTTCTTTCCGTCCTGAAACAAAATCTTCTTCTACCTTAACATGCAAACCTCCGATGCCATCTTGGAGTAATATGGTTAATGTACCCATGTCAGAATGGCGTCCCACTCCGACTGTGAGGTCTGGATTAGGGCAAGCTGGGTAAAAGTTCATGTTAACCATCTTTAGGCCTATCAGTGAACCCAATCTTGATTCCTCTAGTTTTACTCCAAGATTTTCAAATAAAATTTTCAACAGCCTCCTCACCATCTGATTCGAGGATTTCAAGTACTCAAGGGCCTCTTCTCTGAAAAATACGAATAATAACCACCATAAAATTCAAATCAATCATTTAAAAAAAAAAAACGGTGTAGGCAGTGAGAAAATCATAGTGATTTTGGATAGTAACTGCAATTGCACCATTCATTTAGTGAATAATACAATAGTCACTATCTCTATCAATATGAATCACAAATTTATGCATAATATACGTAACAAAAAAAAAAACTCTTATATTAGTCCCAATAAAAAGCGAATGTTAATTAGTATATCTTACTTGCATAGTTTAGGCCAATGCTCAAGTGCCTCAGCTTCGTTACTGTAAACCATGTTGAGATAATCTTTCCATTCCAAAGCCTTTTCTTTCTCTGGGGCAAAGCTGGTTCCATATTTAACGAGACGGCTCCGTCCCTCCCCAGGGAGATACACCGCCTTCTTCTCAGGAGACTGCGCGAAAAAACGGTGGGCAGCTTGTTTGAGAGAGTCCAAGAGATCCACCGGAACACCATGGTTAACTACTTGGAAAAAACCAAGAGTTTCGGAAGCGGTAACAATGGCTTTCACTACTTGATCATGGTTAGGACCATCTAGCAATGATAAATCAATTGGGGAAACATTGTTGTGATACGATGAGTTTTCATTTCCCACGATTTTGAGGATGCGCTCAGATGCTGGCTGAATATATTTTCTTGGGACATTTTCGATTCCTGAATCTACTAGACCTTTAACACCGTTGCCTTTTCGGACAACAAAATCGAACAAAGAGCTGGTGTCATCAAAAGATGGAGCCATTTCTCAGCTAATTTGGGAAAAGTATAAAATTAATGTTTGATTTCGGATGGTAAGAGGTTTATCTGGTAGTTGTTTGTTCCATGAGTCCTCCAAGGGGTTGCAATATATAGCCATGCAATGCAAAGATGACGGTTTGATTTTTTCCGGCAGCCACTACTAGCGAACTGTGTGTAAACTTGTCAAAACACACACACACACAAATTTACTTTGATTGAGTCTGGTCAATTAAAATGATTATGAACTTGGACAAAAAAGTCAGCTACTTGAATGAACACTTGATACAACTGTGATCTTTTTGCTTCCGTCTGAAAACCGTTTTGGGTACAATGGTCTACGTGACAATAATTGCATTCAAATTAGGCGATTTGCCAATAGTTGAAATGTTGAAATATGACCTGAAAAAACAGAGATATATGCTACGCCCCTAAAGTTTGTTAATGTGCTTTAATACTTACTTTTTTTTACCGACTTGCCATCTAACAAACTATTGGAGATGAATTTAACCATAAATAGCACTTAAAAAGGGTTAATACTTCAAAAGTCAAAAAGTTACCAAAGTTCAATAGATGATTTTAGTGGCAAAGACCGACCTAAAAATTGGTAAATCACTTTTTCAGTTTCACATCACCAAATCACACGTTCGCACATAAGTAAGGGTTGATGATTGTTTTGAAAACGTAGTGATGACATAGTATTGATGATTTGAAAGGAAAATGACCTCTTTTAATCAGTTTCTAAATTAACGCCATGGGCAATATATATCTGATCTTCTAGCATTCATCAAATCGTTTCTTATGATTTTCGTTAAATAGCAAGAAATTAGATATACCATCTAAAATGACACGTATCATAGTGTCATTTTCCTATGTAACGTTACGAAGGACGTGTACAACAAAAATTATTCTAGGAGATTCCAGATTAAACAAAAACATACATGAAATAACAGAGATGCCCCCTAATAATAAATTTTTTATAGACGTGCTTGATGTGCATATAATTTACCAATTTATTATATCTCTAATTCGTGATTTTTGCCAAAATTTTGAGTATAAATGCGCTATTCATATAGTTTTATCTTTGTTTGTATAAATTGTACTCAAATGAATAAATTGTTAGAATTTTGTGCTAAAATCGAGATAAAGAGCAACATATAGGAGCAAGATTGAAGATTTGAATAATTGATGAGGCAGAAATCAAAGACTTGAAGGCTTGGAGAACTAAGGACAAAATTCTGGACTTCTTCTTCTTGGTTTGGCCGAGGACTTGAATGGGCTGGATAATAATCAATTTGTGGCCTGGTTTTTGAGTGGGAATATCTAAAAGTGGGCTTCGTACTTTTGCTTTAAAATAAAAGAGCCAACCAACAATAAGCCCAAGTCTTCTTCTTTTATTTTTGTGAGCTCCAAACTTTGTTGCTGCTTCTGCCTTGCTGAGACAAAACCGAGAGAAAGATGTAATCAAATGGGCCACGTGAGCTCAAGTCGGCAGATCCAATCTTCTTGATTGAAGAATAAGACGCCGACAACAACCAATTACTACTGTAAAAGGGACTCTAGTTTAATAGTTTTATTATTTTTGGTAGAACCGGGCGCTCAACAAAAAAGGAAAAAATGTCATTCCTATTCAAATCTATGCCCCCGCCGTCAATTATACCCAATAAATTTTTAGTTAGTCAATTTTATCTTAATGTTTGAAATTTTTGTTAATTTCGCCTAATCGGCCCCTTTTCCGTCTAAATTAACGGATTTCCGTTAATTTTTTAATAAAATAATAAATTTAATTACAAAAATACCCCTATAATTTTAAAAATTTTAAAACTAATCTTTAAAATATATAAATATAACAAAACAGTCCTTTTTCACTTTTTTTATTTTATTTTTCTCTATCTTGTTCCATTTCTCTTTACTACTTTTAATGACCATAAAAGTCTATTATATGAGTTTTAAAAAAATATTTATTTATTTTCAAACTCTACTGTAAAAATTAATCTTTGCATAATTGTAACCCATAATTGTATTTATATAAGTATGTTAATTTTTTTAGTAATATTGTTTAGCAATAAAGACACTATTTTTCTGATTTATTTTATTCTTCTTAACATAAAGATTAAAAACATTTAAATGAAACTAATATTCCTCATAAAAATAAAATATTAGCTCAAATAAAAAAAATATTAATATGTTTTAGTGTATTACAATTTCACTCAAGAGACTATAACTTGCATTAATATAATTCATAAATAAAATAACTAAAATATAAAATAATTAAGACACTATTTTTCTGATTTATTTTATTCTTGCTAACATATTAAAAACATTTAAATGAAACTAATATTCCACATAAAAATAAAATATTAGCTCAAATAAAAAATATTAATATATTTTAGTGTATTACAATAACTCAAGAGACTATAACTTGCATTAATATAATTCATAAAAAATAACTAAAATAAAAAATAATTAAAACCTTAAAAAAATCCTCCAAAGATAAGTTTTCCTTCTTGATACTAAAACGCATTTTCTATTACAACAACTTATTACTATATTGTTACCTCCATTCATTTATTTTAAACTAAAATCATAGTAAGATATATTAATATCTCAAATAATTATTACAAAATGTTAAATCCTCTCATTGATAAGTATAAACATTTTTTTTTATAAATTATATTATGCCATGTAGTCTTTCTAGTTAAATTGTAATATACTAAAATATACTAATATATTATTTTTTATTTGAGCTAATATTTTATTTTTATGTGAAATATTCGTTTCATTTAAATGTTTTTAATCTTTATGTTAGGAAGAATAAAATAAATCAGAAAAATAGTGTCTTTATTGCCAAACTTTATTATTAAAAAGATTAACATGCTTATATAAATACAATATTCATGTGTTACAACTATACAAAGATTAATTTTTAAGGTAGAGTTTGAAAATAAATAAATATTTTTTAAAAAATCATATAATATACTTTTATGGTCATTAAAAGTAGTTGAGAGAAATAGAACAACATAGAGAAAAATAAAATAAAAAAGTGAAAATGGACTATTTTGTTATTTTTATATATTTTAAGGCTTATTTTTTGAAATTTTTAAAAACTATGGGGTGTTTTTATGTTTTAAATTTATTATTTTATTAAAAAACTAACGGAGATCCCTTAATTTAGATGGAAAATAGGCCGATTGGATGAAATTGACAAAAATTGCAAACATTAGGGTAAAGTTGGTTAACCGAAAATCTATTGAATATAATTGACGACGAGGGAAAAATTTTGGGTAGGAACGACATTTTTTCCCAACAAAAAGGGTGGCGGCGGCGAGAGCAATTCGAGTCAATTTGGGCCACCGCGGACGTAATCTTCTCTCCAGTTCCTTTGTTCCACTATTTTATTTATTTTAGAATAACGTGTAGCTAAATATTTTAATCTAGGATTTTGGTTGTAGCCGCCGTACTATTTTAGTTTATTTAATTTATTTGATATTGTAACTTTTTATTAATTAATATTTATTATTTTTGTTTTTCATCCATGTGAATACCTGATCAATGTTTGCATGCTTTAAGGTGCTAGTTGAAATAGCGAGAGCGGAAGGCTAGTATTAGTTCGTAGGAATAATAAATTTAGGTAGTGGGCCACGACAGTAGGAACACCGCCTTTGCGACTAGTAATTCCAAAGTTCTTAATGTGCTTTTATTAATCCTTATAGTCACGAGAGTTGTCATAGGGTTAATTTGAGTAAGAGGGTTATGACACGAGAGTGTATAATTCTTAAATTAGTGAATTGTCGTGAGATTAATGAGAGTTCAAAGTCACATATCTATAGATTGAGTTAAATTGAGTAGTCGGTTAGTGAACCCTTTGCCCTAGGTTTTTTTTTAATTGTTTAAATCTTAAATTAAATAAAATTATTAATTTTAGGTTTAGTTTAATTTAAAATCAATATTATTAATTGTCTAAATAATAATAAGAAATAGTTTTAACCGGTACTTGGTAACCTTCTCTGTGGGATTGACTCTGCTTGTTATTTTACTACTAGTAATTATATTAAGTAGGTAATTTTATATTTGATTAGTGTGACGACGGCTTGTCAGTACTACTGAAATCGGACCTAGCTATTCCAATGTTTTTTAAGTTTTACGCCATTTGCACGGATAAAATAGAGTACGGACTTGTTTGATAAAAATTTGTTGTTAATACTGAGTTAGAAATATTGAATTCACTAAGCAATTACATAATAATGAATAAATGAACTTTTATCGTGTATATTTTGTATTGTACTTTCAGCACCACTTAATTCATTAAAACTTTATTTTCTATTATTCAACATGCTAGGATGAAAAAGTGCTCATAAAACAATTTTAAGCATTAACTAAAATGTATACATGATGTGAAGAAACAAAATGTGTGCATATTACTTGAAAGGATTACTCCATCAAAGTTGAAATTGAGGGTTTTATTTTTGTTGCTGTAACTTATTTTTATTTTTCCATGAAATTGAGGATTATTCCATCAAACTACTCAGGGCATTTGTGACATATCCAATCACACAGAAATTTGACACAATATTTGGGCCTATATTAAATAAGTTGAGTTGTAAATATAGATTCGGAGGACAAACTCCACTTTCACGGAAAGTTGACTCTTTTAAGAAATAATTAAAAAAAAAAGCAAAGAATCAATAAGAAAGATATATTACTTCCGTCCCAAAAAAAAGTCCACGTTGAGTTTTCAAATTTGTATTAAAAACACTACGAAACTTAAAACTCAATTTAAACTATTTTTGTGGGACGGGGGAGTATTATACATGACTTTGTTAAACTAGGCACTAGCGAATTAGTTAAGGTTAAAGTTGGAAATGAACCCAATATTTTCAACTGCCTTTGAAACACATAACAACCGCTTAGAAATTTATATAAAAAAAAGGAGGAAAAAGAATTAACGGGACAATCTTTTTTTTCCTAACCTTATTCAAATTAAATAATACTCCTTCCGTCTCATAATTATTGTCCAGTTTGAGTTTTCATTTTTAGTTGAAATTGTACTAAAAGTGAAATGTGAAACTAGACAATAATTTTGGGACAGAGGGAGTACGTTCTTTTATCTTACATGTTAGAGGTATTTAACCTATTGCAACGGAAGTAAGGCTAACATCATTGATAAAAATTGAATTTGCATATTTGCTAGGACCTTAAAAAACAACCATAATCACAATCATTTGCTAGAACTCTCACTGATAAGTATTTTTTTTTGAAGTAAAAAAAATAATAATAATGACTAATCTCGAAGCTCGAATTACAAGTTTCA